AGGTAAATACGAGTATTTCTTGAGACATTTATAAATGACTCCATTATAAAGGTGAACGAAATTAAGCTTTTTCCCATCGCAATATATTTGCAGAAATGCCACACAATTATAAGTTCAGTAGTTTATGTCATGGACAGCATGGTGTACCAATGTTTAAATACCAATTCGATTAACTGCAATAACTTTTTTTAATACAATCTAGATATTTTAACTACTGCTATTTTTCATTACAACAATTTTAATGATGTCATAATAATAATACATAGAGATCTAACTTAGATGAAAGAAAATGAACTGATTCTTAAAAAAACTTTCTTTCCATAGGAAAATTATCCCTACCTATAACAAAAGAAGACAAAAATGAAACATAGGTATCTTAAATCGAATGATTCATAATAGTATGTTCATAACTTAACAACATGTTAACTTTATGAAAAAAAAAACAACTGACAAATGTAATGTATTTTAACTGACTTTCTTACACTGCTTCATCGCTCTACTGAATTACTTATTCAGGATGTAGCTTTTGGAAATTCACAAGAGCGTAGCCGCAACCAAAGAGCTTTGACGAACTATGTCTGATTTATTACTACTTATGTAAAAAATAATAATGAGCGCATGTTAAAGGGCGTGCCAATTCGTAGAACTTTTACCGGGAGATGTTTACTCGATGGCCTTTGTCTAGTCTCCATCTCAGCGAGACGACTGTGGGTGTTCGAGTGTTCTTATGAGTCGACACCATACTTTTCATGTCTTCAATGTTTGCAGAAAGCTCGAGTAACATAAAGAACTCTTTGAAGTAACACTTTGTGCGTGTCATTATAGTGTTAATGCCGTTCTAAAAATATAGCCAGACAACGCACACTTGGAACTCTTTTGGATTTAGTTCTCATGATACCTCAAGCAAGTTCTATTTTTTCTTAAGAATGGAGGAGAACCCGAAATATCCTCTACAATTACTTTGTTACAAAAATTAAGGTTTTTTTTTGTGTGATCATTTTCGAAATTATTACCTATCGACATTCGTGCTCTTCAGCACAAAATTGAATTGAAAATGAAGCAAATTTTTAACGGACTTCAAATCTTTTTTCTCCTGACAACACACAAACAGGCAATTAATTGTGTTTTGTTTATAAGGCACGTGGCCTAAAATATACAATCAGAAACTAGCATGCACATTGGGGCGCATATGCTTGTTCACGAACACCGGCTTCCGAGCAACGCACCCGCCCGGAACCAAAACAACCGACTGTGAATTAAAACAAAGCAGGGGTCTACGCTATAGAATGTCGCTCAGAACGTTGCCCCGATAGGTGTAAGAAATACCGCTATTGAATGCTAACGCGTATTGTAAACTACCTTCAAGCCGTTGGCTGATGCTGGAAAAGTACTTAGATAACTTATTTTTTTAACATACGAGTACGTATACATTTATTTGAAATGTCTATAAAAAGTTTGAGTTGTTTCAAGTTTAAATGACTCTTGTACGAAAAACGTAATGTATATAACCAACTAACAACCATGTTATTACAAAGCTAAGTCTATTAATTTTGTTAACTTTGTAAGTGCAGAAATATCAAGAACTTAGGTATAAAAGTTTACACGTATTTTGGAAAATAACTAAATAAGCATAGTCAGAAGTTGTTAGCGAAAATTTTACTAGGCATATTTTTGCTTTTAATTTGCCTATATTTATCGGGTTTAAATGCGTAACAACGGTTAAAAGGCCCAAAGAAAACAAATTGTTATGAACGCCCACACGGGCCGATCGTGGCACGAAACCACAACATAATACAGGGTGATAAAATCTAATCGTCACGACTTCGTTACGCTTATACGGCAATACTGTCTCTTATATAATTATGTATGTGTAACACATGACACAATTTCCCAGCCTTTCATTTTCTTAATCTAAATAATTCTCAAGATTAGAAATGATCATATTAAAATGTATTTTATAACAGACGGATGTAATGAGCTTTTTAGGCTTTAAAGGCATTAATGAAAAAGTAAAAAGCTCTTTATATAAAAGCCCTTTCTATAAAATACAACGTCCACATTGTTAACCACCGCGTTAATAATACAATTAAAGCACTAATTACTTAGGTAATAATTTTTTGCAAAAATTTTCTGCTTCGCTTCAAACAAATATTATTAAACTTAACCTAAATGTAGAGCTGTGCCAAATGAATAAATACAAAATTATTGGTGCAGAAAGCGTTTTTAACTAGAGTTTTCATTAGAATGTATAAGAATATAATAAGGAAGCGGTCTGTATAGAAGCTTACTAGCCGCCATTGGAATTCTACGCATGACGCGTGCGCGCGTGCGCAGTCCTCCAGACATGCCCGGGCGCAGGAAACACGCGCCGCTAGCCGAGCCAGCCCCAAGCTCACCTTTGCTTGACAAATATTACGATCCAATAATATTTTTACCAACATGGCGACAATTCTGCTAACCTAAAACACTTTTCCTGAAGCTTTAACCTTTTAGGTTTCAGTCTCTTCAGTCAAGATATTTGAAAATGTGCTGACAAATTTTATCTATTAGNATCTTTAAGTGACCATTTACGCAGTTACGGCCGCGTGAATTTCAGAATTCCGCATGAAGATACTCATTCAGGAAGCCTATTTTACTCAGGTAATGTAGCTTTCTACTGGTAAAAGATTTTTAAAATCGGTTCAGTAGTTCCAAACAGTACTTCCTACAAACAAACTAACCTACAGTTCGTAACTTTACCTATTTTATTACCTACTAAATATTAGTTTAGATTCAAATCGTACTTAAACAGTACTAAATATTTTTTTATTTAATAAAGTACCTAATTATCGTATGAAAATAAAAATTATTAATTCATTATTAACAAGACGGTTTATAAGTTCTTAGAAATGGCAGTAGACTATAAGGTCAAGCCAGCCTTGCACACTCCGCATCAAAGTGCGGGCGTGGGTGAGCTCTCCCACTCTCCAAAGACCTTCGTTTGAGATATTTAAATCACAAAACAATAAATCAATACACGCAATTTCAGCGCTAACACAACAAATCCTAGACAATTCAAGAGTGAGTTTCTGAAAAGCAGGCCCCTGAGACTAACTAGCTCATTACTTTTTATGTTATACAACTTGAATTAGTTAAAAAGTAATAAGACCAGTTCATGAAAAATGTATTTTCTCAAGTGAATATTACATCTAGTTTAGCTACACATATTTACTCAAGCGTGTCTATTATCTAATAACTAATTTATGTAAAAAAAAATATTGTATGAGGAGCCAATTTCTTGCAGAGATTTCATATTAACTTTTACAAAAATCGTAATTCGTCTGCAACTATTATTATTGGTCTTACTGAAGCACGTTATGTAAGCGTTGATTTACAAATTGCACTAATGAAAAGGCAAATGGCCGTTGCGGCATGCAAGCGAGGAATCTGTTAAAAAATTATGCGCCCTATTACTGCTATTACTACTCGTTTAGGGTTACCATCTATGAAAGTTACACCCTCTCAAAAATATTCATATTTCAGAAAAAACATGCTGTTTCAGTCACCACTATAAGTTGCGTGTACTCTTTACTCAAGCGTATCAATGAAAATCAAGTGTGTACTTTTCAGCAAGGCAAAAAGGCCGTCAATGTAGGTACGTGGAGTCCAGACAATTTTGGATGAATGGTAACCCTATACTGGACAACGAGCCCTCTCATTGAGTTCGTTAGCGACGAGAGGCTGTTAACTGGGGACGCCACAACTGATGATTATAAACGTGAGATAGATATTAGTTTACACAAGCCCTGCCCGGCCATGCTAATTGAAGAGATGACAGAGTGGAAAGTACTTGGAATCGGTATGTGTGAGAACACTTATGAAGCCACGAGACGCTCAGTACGAGTACGTGCCATACACAACTATTGCTATGAACAATTTCATAATTATAATAATTTTAGAGATTTCTTCAAGTTGATGACGGCGGCGCCAGAGGCGACACGTTGCCGGTAATTCAAACGGGTAATTGAAGATGTAACAACACATTGGACTTTACTATCGAGATTCAAAGATATTTTAAGAATATTTTCAAAGCTCTATAAACAGACATTTCATTTTGCGGAGAGTGTGAAATAGAAATGTTACTCGTACTGATTTAAAACTTTCTCTCGTGATTAAAAATGAAATAACATAACACCAAAATTGATAACACAATCAATACACATAAAAAGGTCTGTGACAAAAGCATTTAACAAAAGGAGCAGAACAATATTAGAAACCACTACACATTGACACTGAAGTGGTGAGAATTTAAAGCAGGTTTTTTGTAGGCGGCAGTTTAAAATCATTCATTCTTCACGCTTCAATGGTTTGTATTGGGAGAAGGACCCCGGGGAGACGTTGCGCAGGTACAAAACCAATGCCAGTGAAGAAGCTTTTTATCTTTCTTCATATGTGATAGGAAGGTGTATCTTAAGTTTATGCTTATTTTTTTATTACTCGACAACGGCACACATTACTATACTGAAAAGTAAATATTCACTTGTCAAACAAATTTTACTGTAACTAAAATTGGTTATCGGTCCGATAAGCAGGTTCATCTGAACTGTAACCAATTCGCAGCACGTGTAGTCATGGTCTTATCTCAAAAGTTTATGTGGAACATGCATTTGCTGTAGCGTATTCATTTATTAACATTATTACCTCCAAATTCCCAAACATTCCACTGTTATCCAACAGCTAGTTCCTATCGGAACCTGTACGAGATAGGTTTGTAAATAAAACAAGTTTTTTGTTTTTAATTTGTAACGTCTGTTGACGTCGAATCGTCCGCGTCAACGAGAAACTTATTGTAGTCAGCCCCACAAGCACCTTTGACGTTTCTCTGTCCTTGTCTCTCGACTGGGTTTTTGTATTTCTGTCCTGTTCACAGCTGAACCCTATTTACGGTTGTACAGACAGCATAAACAATTTCTTGAGCGGAGCGCGCGTAATTTTGAGGTTATGTTAGTATTAATTCGACATTCGCTAGAGCCGAACGTGCGCCGCAGCTCGCGCCGGCAGCGATCGAGTGTGCATTCGTTACTTCGCGATCGATATTGTGAACTTGGTGCAGTCGGTGAAGATACGTGCGTGCATTTGAAGTGAAAGGATAATTGCCAAAACTGAGATGCTCGTGACTTTTGAACTAAAGTGCTAGCCGATTGCATATTCAGAAAGATGAATTGATCCACTGTTTTACAGGTAGTTAACTATCAAAACTAACTGGTTTTAAAATTAATTGACCAACAGTTTAATTTCTATTTTATTTATTTAATTAACTACACCGGAAGTTTACTTACTCGTAAATAAAAAAACTAAGCCTGATTTATAGCTCTGAAAAACTTTGACTCTACCTTACATACAATTCCGAATGTATTGTTGATGAGAATAAAAAATATTTTTCAGTGCATGAAAATTTATTACATAATATTGATCACTGGCTAAATAAATAAAATAAATTAAGTAATATTTACTACTTCTTTGCCGTTGTAATATCGCTCTACATTTATCGAGTACTTAGGTTGTAAATGCAAGTCGGTTGAAATGATAACAACATATCTTTAGAGGCGTGATCTAATTACATTCGCGATTTTAATTTGTAATTGTGTAGTTAGTCATCTGGAAAGGTGATAAGTAAATGTTGAAAAAAACATCGTTTGCAACGTTGCAGCGATCGAGGGTTCACTTCCCCTCGGCGTGCACCCTCGCTCGCCACACTCCGGCAGACTGATGCACCACAACACCAAAATTTTTCCAGACATCTTATACCAAATAAAATAAGGATCATATTTGTCTAACCCACTGTTCTCATAACTTTGCAGACACAGGCAACGTCGTACATTCATCCCACACCCTCACTTTATTACCTATACAGTATGCATACCGCGGAACTATTGTTACTTGCATCAATCCATTAGACGATTAATCCGATTCATTGTTATAGAAACTCATTGTTGTGCAAATTTTAGGGAATTAGATCCTACGATATACACTATCAGACAAGTTATAAAACAATTAAATAAAATGGGGCAGCTGTTTCGGGGTCTTGCTGTGAACAATGATAATTACATATTACCGTTTTAAACAATACAAAACTATTGTTAGATTACTCCAGCTAACTATTAATGTAACTAAATATAATTGCAATTATGAAAAAAAAAACAAATATTATGCCACTTATAACGAAGCTTATAACAAAGAAAATACTTCGAACTGATTAAATCTTGAACCAAACGTTATTTCTCAGAGGTTTGGGCTGCCCCTTGTAATTCCAAAAAAGGCCGGCTAAGGTCATTACCAAAGACACAATACATACTATACATACATGGAAGAAGAGTGGGCTTTTCGGATTAGAAGCAATGCCATAACAAGATGGGCGGGTATATACCTACTTAATCGAATGAATAGTAATAAAAATCATTTTAAACCAGAAACTGGGATTGGCATCGTAACTGACTTGTTCCATAAAAATAACATTCTTACATAACTACTTGTATTCGATTAAATAAAGTAACATAAGTTCACACCTATTTATTTCGGGACTTATTTATTGAAACTTTATTTATTTCTATAAATATTGTGGTAGAGTCTAGAATTCAGATAAGTTCTGCCAAAAAAGCGGTTTGTTCAAAAGACCTCTTCGTGGTAGATTAAAAACAGGTTCCGATAAACGAAAGTAAGAATTTAAACGGTCGCCTTTGAAGTGCTAATATGTAGACAGGATTAAACATACTAAGAACACCTACTGACTGCTAAGTTTTTGTACATGCTTTTCTCATTGTGGAAAGCTTGGCAATGCCAATGACGCTTAACTGGGGGTAGAAAGTAGGTGATGTGAATATTGAACAGAGAACTCCATACGTTAGATCACATCCGTTAACCTGTGAACTATGATTGCTACCTCATATTTTCTAATTGCTTACTAAAGTAACAGAATTATTAATGTGCTAAGCCTATTTATGGCGTACTTTACGCAAGGTAGAGACCTCCTTCGATGTTGATTACATTAACCAAGCGGAATCTTAGAATTATTTAGGTAGTTACCTATTCTAGAAATTGTATTGCTACAGCAATAGATATGATGTTTCCAGGTGAGCAAAACAGCTGAAAGCACTATGTCGATTCTTTTAATGACAAATTGCCAGGATACGTAGAGTTGGTCCATGTTTATTTGCAACGAATTTATGATTATTACTCGCTGGAATGGACCCAAACTTAAATTATACTTTCACATTTCTTAAGCAAAGAAAGTCAGCTTTTCAAAAGTACAGTAAAGACTTAAAAAGCCGGTAATAACATTAAAAATATATCATGAAATAGCTGGTAAAACTAATTACCTACTTAGCAGCACTGAGCTTACGAAGATTTTAGTCACCCGCATAGCAAAAGGTCAGAGATTTGATTCTCATCTGAGACATTTCCTTTTATTCGTGCTTCGATAGATATATTAAAAGTCCTTGATCTGTCATGTTAATCCAGCTTGCCCGCCTGACAGTGTATTTATTTCGACTCACAACCTATCACGTTTTGGTTCAATTGTATCACTTATCGTATGTCGTGCTGCAGACTTGATATATCTAGTTTTCAATCATACTATAATAATATTTTGACTAAGTCCAGTTGTATTAATGCAATTTAAAAAAATAATAATATAGGAGCTAGTCCACCCGCAGAGCTCTCCTTTTTGAAAAGACTTAGGACCATTTTCCATCACAGCTTCCTACCAGTAGAATATTGTTAATTTACTCTTGACAATATTAATAAAATACCGAGATTCAATGGTTTGTTTAACGCATAACGCATTTCGTTTTCTGTTGTCTCGTCTCCATTTTGGTGGAAAACGGTCCTTACGACAGCAAACTTCTTAGGCTGAGTTGCACCAGCTTATTTTAACCGTAACAATAACTACCATCGGTGCTTTTTGTATGGAGTTAGACTTGACGTCTGTCAAAGTTAAAGTTAGATGGTGCAACTCAGCTTTAGACTTTATATATTTCAAAATAGCTATAAGACTTGATCTAACTGTAAGTATGGTTAATGTATCTGATCTATGTCTGAGAAGGTACATAGTGTATTAAATGCTAACAACGATGTGTATTCCGGGTCTCCCACGCCACATAATGAAGACGAGACAATGCCGTCTTTGACTAACGGACCGGCATGTGAGGAAGCACAGCAGATAGATAAAACACTTCTGGTCAACCGTTTCTCTTGTAACTTACTTTAAATTAAACCTTTCAGACAGTTAAGTGGTAGTACTCTAACGGGATTCTGAATGATTAAACAGTGAAAGAAGGATTATGAAGTTCATTAAGTCATATTTAGGCTAGGTTGCCGCATCTTACTTTAACTTTTGCCAAACGTCAAAAATCTGCCAAACTCCATACAAAAAGCACCGGTTATCGTTATAGTTACGGTCAAAGTAAGGTGGTAAAACTCAGCCTTAAAGTTTAACTTAAAACTAGGCTTGTAGAATCATATACTCCATGACTATTACGTCGGCTTCTTTATAAGATTCACGTGTCCAGTGTTTATCATGTTTAAGCATGAAGAATTCCATATTACGTACTTTTACTGTTGCGAAACCTTGAATGGTGTCCCACATACGACATCGCGTGGCGATACTGGGCTCCGTCAATCATCCATCAGTTACCCACCATTTTATTTGCGGTCTTTAATGGCGTTATTACTATGAAATTACCACCTTACTCTGCAGTTATGTTAGAACTTAAACACTAGATGCAGAATTAAACGATCACGTTAATGTTGTTAATTCAATCAACGATGCATTAAAAAGATATTTATAACGATTATCCACTATGACGTCAGATTCTCCAAAAATACCGTTCAAATCTTATCATAAGCTATAACTAAATCTTACTTCCAATTCTTTTAATAAGAGAGTTAACGTTTTGGAAATGCTATTGTCTGAAACTTGATGGAAACTTCTTTTGATTTCAATAAAGATCTAACCTACCTTAGCCAAGGTAGAGTTATGAGTATACAAATGAAGTATGAATTGTTATTGTACGAAAAATATTATCCAGTAATATATAACTAACGAATTATAATAATAGTCACCAAGTAATTTTATTAAAGAAACGCTTGCCAACGATTACGTACATGCTTTGGCATAAGGAATTTCTACACGACTACTTTAGCCATTGTTCTCATATTGTTTTCGGTACCTAAATAAATTGCAGGAACGTAAACTCGACCTAATGTAAATATATGAGTTCATAAGTTTCAAACAATAGCTATTTATAAACCAGAAGCTAATAAGAACTGCTATGGACATAAACTAAAGGTCATACAAATGAAACATAAGAAGTGCTATTAAACTAGACTGTCTGAGACTGATTTTCCTTAAAAGCAATTATTTCAAAATCTTAACAATTATTTCTTGCGTTCTGATAAACTTACATTAATATAAAAAATGCCTTTAACGAACGATGCTTTTACAGAATAATAGAACCAGAGCAGGCAATTTCTCTTGGGAAAAAATATAATAAAGGAGGTTTGACATCATAATAGCAAAACAGCAAAACAGTTTCCCAGATTCGTTCGATGAGCTAAGATCTAGAACGCGGCATTCGTTAATTCGCTGGCAAACAGTATTATCAACTGAGATTTGCCATGATGGCTGGTACCGTACTCGTCCTACTTGTTTCACGAAAGTAGAAATAAAACCATTATCGAGCATCCAAATTGTTTAGAACTAAACAATGATCGCTTCAAAGCTTGAAGTTATTACAATAGAGTGCGCTAAAAACGGACCACACAATGTTCACTTTCGTTTCGCCTATTTGTGACTTACTGGAATATTTTAGAAATGCTATGGTGTTACACATAGTGATAGTGGCCATATGTAGGTACTATTATGGCCCGATTCGTCCAAACTTTTATCCGAGAATAACTCCAGGTATAACTGGCACATTGACAGTTTCAGTATGGGAAATATGTCAAAACTGACGATTTGTTCTGATCAAATATTCACTCTTGTTTGGTCGAATCCAGCCTAAAAGAGTATTTAAAGATTTGGAGATAATTTTTAATTAAAATTCTGATATCAAAAATAACTCATTTTCTACGAGTTAAATTACCTATTAGCACTTTAATTACTTTAAACGACTGCTCTTATGTATGTCATGTATGTATGCTCCAATCATGTTTATTTACACATAGAAACAGTTGTTCTAGAA